AAATAATGATATTTAATGATATATATCATAAAACAATGATATTTAATGATATATATCATAAAATAATGATATTTAATAATATACTTCATTAAATAATATACATTGATAACTCTGATATATATTAATATATATTAAATATCTGTTTTGATATGTATTGATAACTCTGATATATATCGATATATAACTAATGATAAAAATCAATACAAATCACTCCAAAAAATTTTCTGATGAAAAATAAAATACTGTAAAATATTATTATAGCCTGAGCTCCTATTCCAAAGCTATAAAATTTTTTTTGTTATATCTTATATATTGGTAACTTTCAAATTGACAGATCTGATCTAAGGCATTGACATGTATCATATATCTGACATATATAAATTAAAACTTTCAATCTATTCTATATCTTATTCACTCCATTTTTTGATAGAATTATAATAACCACGATCCATTTAATTTTTTGAATATAGTTATCTATGGATAATTAATTTTGATTTGAAAAAATATATTTCATAGTTATAGTCTGCAAAATTATATTGCATTAATAATGTTAAAGATAACTACAAATTTCATAAATCAGTATAACTTAACTTCTCAGATGAGTATTATTGAGCTTGGTATTTATACCAAAAAAATATGTAAAGAATTAAAAAATTATAAAGCTCATGATCATGCTCAGAACAGAATCCAAAAATTAGGATTTAGTAAAGATCAAACATATGTTTTAATTCCTATTTAGGCTTCCAGAAAATGTATTATAGAATGAGATCTGATTAAAAAGCTCACTTAATATATTAAGAAAAATGAAAATAATCTTGAATCTGAAGAGATAAATATGCTAGCATATAACTTAGCTAAAATAGTTCCTACTATAATAACCCAATCATCACATCTTAAATTGCTCCAAAAAGAATTACGCAATCTCAATGCTAATTATATTATAATAGAATCTATATATATTCTGAATATTATTCAAAAATTAAATAAAGAATAAGCGATAAATCAGAAACTCTGTAAAGATGAGGAATATGATTGTCCAAAATTCTTTTACTTGGAAAATATTCAGAAAAGACTTAAGAATTATAATATTAACAATTCTTTTACAATGCAAAATTTAATGGATATAATGATAATGTTATCTATGAGGCCAGCAGATATTGCAAATCTTCATATTAATTACTATAAACCATCTAATGCTGATAATCTTTTAAGGTTGCCTCTTTGGACCTGATACAATCCTAAATATTTTTGGTACTGCACTGGATATGCAAAAAATGCAAAAGATGAGTCTCAACCATTTGTATTCATGGAAAAAAATCCAGAACAAGCCAGAAAATTATTCATTTGAATCCAGAAAGCAATTCTGGTAAAATTTCTATTTCTAATAAGAGATAAAGATGATGATGTAAACATTCACCCAATTAATAAATTCCTAGCTATTTATGAAATAAGCTCATCATATTTGAGAAAATTCAGATCTGATCATGCTATTATAATCCATGAAGATAAGACTTACTCTAAATGTAACTGTCTTTGTAAGTTAGCATTAAGACACAAAATAAATCAAGAAGCATCAGATCATTATGGTGTGATGAATGGCAGACCAATTGCTCCAATAACTAGAGAAAAAAATACTGAGACATCAGATATTATAGATCTATACAATTACTAATCACGCTTCTTTGCTTTCACCACTTTCACAGTAAAATCTTTATCATCATTAGATGATTCAAACTCAGATTCAGATTCAGATGTGGATGAGGACTCAGATGCAATATCGTTAAAAATTGGTTTTTTTCTAGCTTTGCATGGAATATGTTGCCGAGAAATATCTGGGTTTGCTATCGCGTTTATAATATCATTAGATTCCATGATAAAATTATCTATCACGTGCGTAGCACTATGTCAACATAATTCTAGTTATTAGAATACATTTTATTAGAATACATTTTCAGATGGCCGAGGCCTTTTTTCTCACTAAAAGATAAAAATGTTTCCCCCAGCTTTCTTTCAAGTCTATGATTACCTGCCGAAAAAAAATTATGAAATTATTTTTGAGGGGGCGTCCGAACTCGTCAAACCTTCTGCGTTAAAACTTCAGCCATTACATATTTGGTTTCATCTATAGTTAGATTTAAGACGTATAATGGGGGATAGATCTAATCCGGGCTATTTTTAACTTAAGTCAAAGACGCTGGTTGCATGCACACATCATACATGTATCACCTTAGTGTCTTAGGAAAAATTAATCACGTGCGTTCCGTTTCGGAACAAGAGCACACATTAACGTTGAAGGGAGGGCAAACTTTGTTTGTTATTTTTTTCTAATGATTGACAAAGCGCCAAAGCGTCAAAGTACATTAAAGAACTTTCACATCATAAATCAGATAGGCTTGTCTGTAAATACATCATATTCAAGTGCCAATATTTTTACTATATCCCAACTAATGAACTACGATAATCTTATTTTTCCTTTTTCGTTTTCTGTGGTGATCGGTACTCCTGTGATCGGGCATTCACTAACACTTTTCCACTAGCGAATTTTTCATTAAAAGCCCTTTCCTTCATAAGCTTGAAACGGCAAACCGTAAGATTCAACAGTTTCTGCAAACAGCAAGGAAGATGAGTATAAAACTATAATTTAAATACTGGTTTTTGGATTGTTACCAACCTTAACCCGAAGCATAATGCGCGAAACCTTAATGATAGACCCAAGTTCCGAATATGTCGATGGAATATCAAAGTCCGCCAAAATTATTGATGAATAAAATCCACCTCCTATATAAACAACTAGGAAGGCGCGAATAAAAAAACAATGAGATAAGAATCCAGGCATAAGAAGCTTGGTGGTAGCTCTCAATACTTGTTTTGACAGCATTCCTCCGCCTTCAACTGATATAGCTTCAACTAGAGTTCTATGCATGTCTCTTAACGTCTTCTGAGCCTTTAAGGTATTCGAAAGGATCTTTCTTTCGTTTTCAATTCTAGAGCCGGTGCGCTCGCAAAGTGAAAATTCGCGACCATACGGCAAATCTTTTGCTAGATCATGTTTCTGTTAATTTAAGTTAGTATTAGTAAGTAATATTAACAATGAACTCTCCAAAATCTAGTGTACCGTAAACATCCAGTCCAAATGATAGCCTTCTGCTGTTTCTGGGGCATCCATTGCTCCAGCTCGACGATCTCGAGAGGCCCTTGATACCATCTCCCCGCTTATTTAAGAACAATTATGTATTATTAACAACATCGAAAATACTTAGAATTGACAGTAGAACTTACAAGTGACTGTCTAGAATATTGTCAAAACACGAAAATAGGTGCCGTTTGATGAAGACATCTATGTCTCTTTCAGAATTTTTCCGCTGGGGAATTCCTTTCGCAAGCATTTCACATCTGGTTAAAGTTATGGTTAAGGAACTAAGCGGAATACATGCAGAATAATAAATTTTCCGAATTAACATGAATTGAATAACTTACGTAAATCGAATCAAGTCCAAAATAAATTGCACATCAGGGTTCAAGTAGTCTTCTTCCTCGATAGAAGATGTTGGCTTTACCTTATCATTCGTATCTTCATCGTCAAATAAAGAAACGCTCAAGCTTGATGTCTCAACGTTCACCATTTTCTGAATTTCAAGGATAGCTCCATGAAATCCTTCGAGTGCCACTATTTTTCCAACCTTACTGAGGTGATCGTTATCAAGCTGGGATTCAAAACGTACGTTAATAAAATAATTGAAATAATACAAAATCAAATGAAACAAAATATAAAATGCTAAATTATCAACACTGACCTTAGCAAGAGCCTGTAAACATCTCTCAACTGAAGGTTCCAGTATGGTCCAATCTTCAGTGGGATGGCCTACATTAAGGGCAGATGCAAATACGGCGACCAGATCCGACATGTCCGCTTCAGTCAGAAAATCTGATGTACTTTTTAGATCCGAGGCATCTATTATTCGCCACCAGATCGGGCTAAGAATTAATCAAGAATTAATCAAGAATTAATCAGGATTTGTCGTTACAAAAGATAAAAGTGATTATATACTGTACATAAAAAAAATACTTTAGAATCAAATAGCAAAAAAAAAAATACTTTAGTGACGATTCATATCTGTCAGACGGATCCGTTTGTGAGGTCAAAAACTCTTGTCGTCTTACTACTTTCTCTAGCCAGGTTGGCATTGGTTCATGCTGAGGTTCATCATTGGCAATCTGAACACACATAAGAAGGCTTAAGAAAAAACGCTTTTATTTACTAAACATAAAATGTAATTACCTCAGGCACAGTTAATGGACTGAACTGGCGTTCAGGAGTTCGTTGTTGAGCCTGAGACTGCAAATCAAGTGAGACATCACTTGAAATGGGTTCCTCCTCTTCATTATTTTCATTTGGTTTGATCTTCTTCTGCACCCTCTCCTCTAGACCAAATTCTATGTCTGAATATTTTTTATATCCTCGTCTTGCTATTTGATGAACATCATGTCTTCCCCTTTTCTGTAACAATGAATTCAACAAGGACTGAATAAAGGTACTGTTAAGTATAGGAGGTAAACTTGAATAAGTCACTTACCTGGGCGATTTCCAATTCCAGATCAACCACATCAGCCTCCAAAAGTAAAGATGAGATTTGTTCCTTCTTCTTCCAAATTTTACTATCACTTTTCTGTATGCATAAATGTATTTAAATAGTTAGGCATAACAATGAGATACTGGATAGAGTTCACAGTGCCACGATGCTTGCTCGACAACGTTTCTATGCCCCTACGCTCGGTAATAGCCGTCGGTTTTTGCACTCGGGAAAACCTTTCCAACACTCGGTTGCCGGTTTAGGCATAGAGTACGTCGCGCGTTTTGATAGTCACGCACACGCGGTGCTACCTGTCGGTTTTTGCACTCGGGAAAACCTTCTCAACGCTCGGTTGCCAGATTAACTATCAAGTACGCTGGCACGACAAAATTCGCGAAGTCAAAAAAACTAATACTTTCCTTCAATTCGTCCTGCCAATGACAAACCGTCTTATAAATAGGATGGTTTTCATCATACATCTGCTCTTAGCTCATCACCCAAGGCTGAGTGAGAAAGACGTTTATTAACCTGTGACGAGTCTAGGTTTTTAAGCAAGTAAAAGTCCCAATCTTTTATGCTTCCCCAAGTGTTAGGTTCTCGATCCCAGTAATCTAAATAGCAAAAGGTTTGTTTTCTCATTATTCTGTTAAAAATAGGAAAGTAAAGTAACAGACTTACTTGGGTGTTTCAGCTTTGAACGTTCTTCTTCCGACATATACGACATATCAAGATATTTGCGAACAAGAAAATTTTTACAAAAAATCTGATTACTTTCGTTTTCTGATTTGATTGATAAAGGATAAAAAGCTCGGGCACATGATCATAGTAATATGCAAATACAGAGAAAACCCTCTAATACTAAGTGCACATCCTCTAAATGCACACCCTCTCTATCCTGCACGTGTAATGATTAATGATTTTTCGGTCCCGTCTATATAAACTAAATGCACGCACGTGACTAAATATTTGTATTGACCAATTAGATTATTCGATTATTCTCTTTGTAGAAATCGTTACTTGATTACCGTTGTTAGCCTGCATTAATATAAGGTGAATTGGAACAACGTATAGTCGTTATAATTGTTGTTGATGTCAATTAGTCTGTATTAATGCATGCGTTCTAAGAAGATGAATTGGAATAACAGATAGTTATTATAATTGTTGATGAATTTCTATTTATTTCAGAATGTATGATATTCTGAAGGGTATGATATCCATAGTCGATATCCATAGTGATACAAACATAAGGAAAGTCACTAGGAAGTCACATAAGAAAATCCATATACTTTTTTTTTGCTGATCAGTTACCAGTCATTTTACAATAATAAAAATAGATTATGATCTCAAAACTTAGATAATAGATACTTTCACACTTGCTCTATTAGAAAATATGAAAGTTATTATCTTTTTTAATACCTGCATCAGCAAGCTCTTATTATAACGATCATGACATTATTAACTCTCCATCGTAAAGAGACATATCTTTCCAAGCTTGTGATAAACAAAAAACTATATTATATAAAGATGTATCAATATTTTTCACAATCTCATTAAAAGTGCAAATGTGATTTCATAGAGATGCTTACAAATAATTCTATTAATTAATCAAGAGTTTGTTTATTCAACTTCTCACATTCTATAAAAAGATGATAGTCTTACCCTTAACTTCCATAATTTATTCATAAATCTGGCAAGTGAAGATTGGCCTCAATTCATAGAAATTTGCACTGAATCAAGATGTTAAACAAAATAAAAGGCTCCAAATGGTATAGTCATAACCTAACATATCATGGTTTCTCCTAAAGTAAAAATAGTTAGTTTTGAGTAAAAAAAAAAATATAATTGTGATATTACATATCAGCAACTTGGATATTAAAAACTGATATCTTGTTAAGATCTTCTTCTATTTTCTTTATATCTTCAACCCTCTCTCTAGTAAGTTTCCTCAGTAATCACACATGAGCATCTTTCATAAGCTTGATTAACTTATCCTAATTAATACAGATCTTTTTATCAATCAGAAGAATACGTGAGACCTCTATAAGACAGATTTCTACTTCACTAATAATTAGTAGAAATTTCACATAAAAATTGGGCTTGTGTCCAATTCTGATTTCTTCAGAATCATCCATCTGATGTTGAGATGTCTCTGAGACTTCTTCAGCTCTATTATGATATATGTAAAACTTGTTATAGTCATTATGTAACCGTCTCTGATAAAAATTCATATTTTATATATTATCTAAAACTTTATCAAATGATTTTAAGTTTGATATTTTCATAGCAAAATAGTGGATCAAGAAAGTTAGACACTATGTGAATGATATATGTTCTCTCAGTATATTCAGCCTTGTTTTTGTCATTAAAGTAGTATCAGATATATCAGCTATAAGAATAAGAGTATTAGAAATTGATTAATTATCAAGACAGAGAAACTCAATTACCTATACTGAGTTTATGATCTTATGCATCACATATATGTCTTCAAACTCCTTATCATTTTCTTGAAAATCCACTAGTATAGGTGAGAGTAAAATCATCATTTCCCTTTTATTCAAGCTCTTTGATTTTTCTAAAAGAACTTTAATCAAGTTAGAAATAATGGGACTTGTTTTGTATTGATCATATGCTAAATTTATAATTTCTCTCAAATTCTTCTTTTATTCTTCTGATAACTTTCCAAAAATTATGTCTGAGTTTTGATCAATAATACAACCAAAGCTGAGTGAATCATTCCATTTAATATTGTTGACATTGAAGAATTCAAAGAGATCCCTTAACTCATATAATAGTAACGAATAAGATATCTCATTTTGGGTTAAATCATTCTACAGAAGTATCAAGTAAGAATAAGCAAAAAAAAAACTATAACTCTCATAATATAAATGTATTACTAATTATTTTTTAATTTTTTTCTTGTTTAAAAAGACAAGATTCTCCTCTGTTAGGCTTATAAATTTAAGAGAAATCTGAAACGTATAAAATATGTTAGTATCAGTAATAAGTTTTTCTAAAGTAAAATTATAGTAGTTTAGTCAATCATTAATTCTATAGCCTCTACTGTTAATATATATTATGTTCTTTACTTATTCTATAAAAATAGAGGAGTCAATATATGAAAATTCTATATTCTGCTTATTATTTAACACTCTTATTTAATCAGATCTCTGATTTCTTCATACATCATGAATGACCATCAGGACTCAAATCTCAGGTATGAGAAGATGGTATGAAATTGATTCTCAAAATAGATAGAATATCATCATATGAAAATACTATAGATAGGATAAAAAATAATATATATATTAGAAATCTTGGAAAATTCTTTATAAGCATCTTGTAGAATGCTATTAAATTTAGTAAAATAATGTAAAGTTTTCTTGCAAGCCAGCTTATATATTTGAAATGTATTACTTATAGAATCATATTGCCTATTATTTATGTTAATTGTATAACCAAATCATAAAACAAAACATACTTTTCTGACTTTGTCATAATTATTCTTCAAATACTCAATACTGAAATTCTTCTAACCAAGGTATTTATAATTCTGCTCCATTTCTGTATAAAGTTTAGTAAATATGAAATTGAGATAAAAATAATTATAAACAAAGACAAAACTATACTCTTCTTCTAAAAGAATTTGCATTTTTTCTCTCTGAAAGTATTCTTTATAAAGAAAATATTCAAATCTGATTTTTTGTATTAGTCAGGAGATTATACGATTATATCATATATAAAAAGTTTTATAACTTTTAATTTTATTCTGTAATATAGTATGTGATATATTAATCGAACATCTGTGTTATACAATCAATCAGTACCCTAATAATTAGCAAGTCACATATTAATTCTAGTAAAAGTGATCAATAAATCTGGGAGATACTTTTTGATACTTCTGTTATTAAAGAATATAGATCGAAGGTAAGTTTATTATAAAAAGAAATTAATTAGATTAGTTAAAAGATCAATTGATTTGTAATAATTGTTAAAGTTAGTGATACAAGTAACAGATGTTTGATTACTAATATCAAATAAGGTAAAAGTAAAAAATTATTGATCTAATTGATAGATAAAGCATGGGAGTATCTATGACTCTTATTTGAAAAAATGTACCTGAGTCGTCCTTATAGGCCTGCTTTGTAATAAAAAGTTCTGATAATTTCTGGTTCTTTTCCATCTAAGTTTATAAATAAATTCTGATTTATAATTTTTTATATAAAAAGATGAAGAAAAAATATCTGAGATCCCTTTACTCCTTCATTATAATAATTAGTAATTTTGAAAAATAAAATATTTAACAAATTTTAGCACTTTGCTTGCTCCACTAATAAATCTTATTCATAATAAATAAAAAGATTCATATACTTGAAATAATATCTAGTTTCTAATGATTAAGATTTATTTATTTATTTATATATTATGATATTCTTCTCACATGTATGTACGTATACTAATATAACTAATTTTCACTTATAGATGATATTATTTACTATTTTAGAGATCATTCTATTTTTGGATTTTGCAGATCTATTGATATTCATCAAGAAAATCTCTATTTACTTGCTCATTAGTACTATATTTTATTTTTTATGTATCATCAAGAAAGATATCGATATCAAGTATAATTCTGACTTTTCTGCACATGATATGATATTTAATGAAATTCTTGTTAATTACAATATTGTAACCAATTAGCTTATTCATATGGCGCAGTATATAGCGCAGCTGCAGCATGTGATGCAGTAATTGCTGATCACTACTAAATCAGATGAATAAGTAATTTATATAATTAATTTAATTTATTATTAATTCTATTTTTAATTCATATTATTACCCATATTTAGCCTTATTCAAATATTAATT